GTAAAATCAGGAGCAGGGAGGACCCTCTGAGGGCATCTGTACCCCCCAACCCCATCACTGTAGGGACAGGAGCACTGAGTCCCACCACCTGCCCGAGGCCCAGAGTCTGACTGAGCTGCTGCAGGAGGTGGGAGGGGATGTCCGGGCAGAGGTACGAAGGCTTGAAGGAAGAGGCACCTTCGGGGAAAGGTGGTCCTTGGTCTGCTAGCAGGAGTAAGGAGTGTGCAGTGGGTGGTCAGGTACGGGACCGGAGAGAGAGGAGGGTCAGGGCTGGGACACAGCGCTGGGGCACTTGCTGGGGATGGGCACAGCCCCTTAGAGATGACAGTGGGACAGTCAACAGGATGTCTTGAGGCCTCCAGGAGCTCCTCTGCAGCCCAGGGCCACATTCTTTTGAGTATTCGGGGGTGGGGGGTGGATATGGGGGTTGGAGGAGTATGGAAACACCTAGAAACAAGACCGGCTTTACCACCTGACTAAATGGCACTGTGTCTAGAGACGTCTAAGCTCAAAGTAGAGCGTCACCTGGGGGTGCTCACTGGTGCAGGCAAGGAAGGGAAGGACTTGCAGAGGTGGGTTCCAGCAGGTTCCTAACATATCAGAGGTTTCATTTCTATGTTAATTCATTTTCATTCACTAATATGAACTATGAAGCCTAGAGGTCCAACTCACTTTCTGAGGCTTGCAATACTGATAGGTAGGCAGAGGTTGAGGAAGGGGCGGGGAGGCAGGCAAGTGACAAGCTCCCTGGGCAGGCCGCTCACACCCTCTGGGATTACCTGCAGATGCAGGTAACTGCCCATTACTGTCAACATTTCTGCAATCGGCTTCTCTCTCCCAGACCAGCCGGTGAGTTCCTTGAGGAAAGAGAACTGTTTACTTAATTCTGAATCTTTAGTACTTCACAGAGTGATCTGGACCAAGGAGATTTTTAATAAACGTCTGTTAGGGGCCCCTCCAAGCCCAGAGCCAATGTGGTCCCCATGGATCCTTCTCGCAGTGGGCAGTGACCAGGAGGGACCAGCCCTGGTCATGGGAACACAGAGCCATCCTCTCTGTGAGCATCTCTCCAGACATGTACATCAGGGGAAATGGGAGTAAAAACTCTAGAGCCATGGAAACCCAACTGATAGCGACAATATAATCATAATAATGGCTTTTGTTGTCCTTTTCATTGACCATAAAGATAACCCATGTTCATTGTGAAAAATTGAGAAAATGGAGAAATTCATGGCGGAGAAAGTGATAATCACTCATCTGTATACATACTTCTAGTTGTTTTGTCATGATACTTGTATAAATACAAAATTAGGACTATACATTTTACATACTGTGTACTTTTACAACCAGTGTATTTCACCTATGTCATAACATAATTATGTTGTAAATAATTTTCATAAGAATGTCATAAGCAGTTTTCCATGAGTTGAAATAGGCTTTGAGAAGAAAGTGAGATACAAATGTTTCCATACTAGCTATGTAATGGATGGAAAAACATGTATTTATACTTCTCTTGTGAGATATTTATGTTGCTTCCATCTTTTTATTGGGTATAACAGTGCCACTGTGACAATCTCTGTCCCCAACTGTTGTAAACCTCTTACTATTTCTTTAAATTAATTTGGAGTAAAATGGTGCGTTCATTAAAAAAAAAAGTCTGTTAAATTAAAAAAAAATTTTTTTTAATTTAAATAATGTTTGTTAAGTTCACGGTACCTTGCCTAACATACATCTGTTAGGATAAGGGACATCAGAATTCTGAAACTCTGGTGGCAGTTTGGGAGGATGGGTGGGTTCCCCTGGACAGAGGGGTTTTATTCACTGTTGTGTCCCCTACAACCCTTCCCCCGTTGAGAGAGTGATGCCTGCTTCCACCCTAGAGGACAGGCAACAAAACAACAGCCAACACTTAGGCGGTGCTTTTCTACGTGGCCAATAAATTCTGAGCACTTTCCATGTATTAACTCATCTAATCTTCACGCGTTCTACCTATGCGGAAACTGAGGCACTGAGAAGCCATTTTATGTGATCCCACAATTAGGAAGTGATGGAGCCAGGATTCGAGCCAAGGCACTAGAGCTCTGCTCTTGACCTCTACACGGCACTGCCTCTATTGCTTGGAAATTCCAACCTTTCCCCCTCCTCTGGTGCCCTAAAGCTGGGCAGTCAATTCCATTACTGAGTAGAGCATTTAGCCAGAGGTGTAGCATCACAGGCGGTTGAGGGTAAACTTCAAGTCATCACCTCAAGGCATGAAACGGCACTGGGCCCATCCCCCTGCTGCAAGGTAGCCCTCCCTCCTGTCCTCATCAGCTCCAGCTTTAGGAATTCCCACACCCGAGAGTCAGCCCCAGGTCTTGAAAGGCCAAGGCAGTCTGGCCTCAAAGCAAATGGCCCAATCGGATGCTCCAGGCATCTTGCAACCCAGTGGAAGGGTGTTTGCAAGCCTGCAACTACCGTTGGCCACATTCCTCTCGGCATCTCTGAGGAATGCTTCTTACCTGTGGGCTGTATCTTGCCGCCCTGCTTGGCAAAGTAGAGACCCAAGGAACATGGTCAGACCAGGGGCAGATCTGGCCTATCCCAAGACGGCTCCTTCCTCTGCAACCTGGTAGGACTTACCAGAAACAGTGCATGCCCCTGGAATTCCCAACAAGTGGTCTCCCAGCCTCTGCTTGGATGCTTCCAGGGACAGAGAGCTCACTGCTTCAGAAGGCAGCTGATCCACTGAGTGATACCTGTGACCCAGTGCTTTTTATCCTAAACTCTCTTTCCATGTTTACTTCCCCAGCTACATTTTAAACTCTGTGGAAACAAAGCTCTGGGATGAGGTAATCTTAAAGTCTTGCAAAATCTTTTAGGTAGAATATGCTTAATACATTCTTGCTAATTGAGATCTTATCAAGGGTGAAGAATGCAAAACAAGAAAAAATATGATCTAATTTAAATGCCAAGACTAGGATCCCTGGGGGAAGGAGGGCGATGGAATTTCTGCTGGTGGAGAAGGGGCTGGGCATGTGCAGAGTGATATTCATGCTACCGCTCACTGAGCACTCGTGTCAGGCCCCTCACGGGAATTCTCTCATGAATCCTTCCAATCCCATGGAAAAGGTGTTGTCACCAACTCCATTTTACAGAGAAGGACACTGAGGCACAGAGAGGTTAAGAAACATGCCCAAGGTGACACAGCTTGCAAACAGCAGAGCTAGGATTTGAATCCAGATTCATGGATTTTGGAGCCTTGGATGTGCAAGATGCCTCCCCAGGGACCCGGGACCCAGCTGATCTCTCCTCCAGGGAAAACATGGATGGTATAAAAAGTCTTTGTTGTGTCTGAAAAAAAAAAAAAAAAAGTAAAAGACAAAAATTCTTGGTAAATTTGAAAAAAGTGACTAATGGACAACTCCCCTTCCCCCAAGAAACTGAGACCTCATGAGAGGGAAGCAAAGATCGCATCCTATCTGATGCTGAGGCTCTGAGCTCCTGCAAGTGGGGTCTAAGGGTCAAGTTTGTATCCCAGATACTGGAAACAGAGCCTGGCATGTAGTCAGGAAGTCTCAGGTGAATAATGAGTGAATGTGGGAGGGAGGAGCTCAGAAGGAGACGGGAAGATGAGGGGCTGGGCTAGAAGCTTTGAGCAGGGAGGAGCGCTGACTGCGTCCCAGAGGGTCGAGCCCTGTATCCACCACTCTGGCTGGATCCGCTTGCTCACACAGCTGCTGCCATAGCACCGCCATGCCTCGTGTTGACATCACCAGGATGAGACGGACAAGCGTGCAGGAGGACAGAGATGCCGCTTGGCATCAAGAGAGCTTCTCAGGGATTTGGGGCGGGGGTGGACAGCTAGGAGAGGCTTCCCTCGGGAAGAGGCCCGGCCAGATGATCGATCTCTGCATTTGTGTTACTCAGGGCAACCCCAGCAAGAGGAAGGGACAGGTGAGGGGCAGAAAGAGGGGGTAGCAGAGGGAAAGCGGGGACAGGAGAGAGAAGGAAGTGGCTAAGCGGCATCTGCGATCCCTCTGGAGCCGCCCACCCACCCTGTCCATCCTGTTGAGGAGAGCTGGCGCCGGCTCTCCGGAGCTGGGCACCGACCATCAGAAAGGACGCCGGTCACAGCTCTGGTACAGGAACTGGGCCCCCGGTACTCAACGTTGCCTTTTGAAGTGGTGGGGAGGTCCGGAGGGTCCCGAGGAGGGGCTGGGTGATGGCAGGGCACATGTGGTGGGGTGGGCACAGTGACTTTCAGCTAACTCACTGGGACCTACTTGTCACCTCTCAGCCATGCCTGTAGGTGACCGGAGGCTGAGGGTGCTGTTCCCAGTTCCCGGGAACCCAGCACACAGTAAGGTGGCGCCTCCTGTACCCGCCCACAGCCACCTGGGAGGCAGACGGTATCGTGCAAGCACTGCACTGCTCGGGTAGGCAGACTTGGGTTTGAACTCTGACACTCTCCCTTGCTCTATGTGGCCCAGCAAGCTACCTTGCCCAGAGTTTCAGGTGCCTCACGGTGAGTGCGAGGACAGCCCCCACCTCAGGGCACCGCCCCCGAGAAGAGGCTCCTCCTCCCCTCCTGCGCCCCTCAGCTGCAGCCTCCTCCTACTGCCTGTATGTGTGTGTGTGTGTGTGTGTGTGTGTGTGTGTGCGGGGGGGGTCCTTCCCTCCTCCGCCCATAGCACCCTCCTCTCGGGGGCTGCCTTCTCCTATTCGTCTCTCTGAGCCTTTAAAAACAGAGGTCAGTGGCTTCGCCATTCAGAACGAGATCCAGAGTCCCTTCCATGCCCCACAGCACCCCACGTGAGTGCTTCTCAACCCTGGCTGCGCGTTGGGGTCACCTGCGGAGCTTTTAAGAAACTACTGATGCCTAGCCTCACCGCTGGAAAATCCGTGTGAATCACTGGAGCTGGAGCCGGGCGTCCGTACTTCTTAAATGCTCCCTGGTGGATCTAACGCGCAGGACCACTGCTCCACTCCACGTGAGCCAGCCTTCCTGTCACCCCGCCCAGGTGCTGTGCTCCAACCTGGCTGCCTCCTTGTTCATCCTCAAACACCCTCCTTTCAGGACCTCTGCTGGAATACTCTGTCCTTGGGGGTCCACATGGCTCCCCCCTTACAAGTCACTGCTCCCCAATCTTATCAGTGAGGCCCCTGACCATACCGTGTGCCAGGCCCCCACCCTGTGCCCTCACATCTCCCCTGACTCTGCTTGCTTCTGTGTCATCACATTTGACCCCTGACGTGTCACATTTATTTGCGTGATGCTGCCTCCTTCACTAGAATGCAAGCTCTGTGAGAGCAGGGACATGGAGGTCTTGCCTCATCCTCAGTGCCCAGCACAGTGCCTGGCACACAGTGGGTGCTTGATAAAAATCTGCTGAGAGAAAGGCCGTCAACGCCAGGAGGTCTGAGCTCCCACTGCCGGAAAGCAAGGGTGGAGAGTCTTGCACCTCGGTGTCCTGGCACCCAGCACAGGGCCAGGCTGTGACCAATTCACGGGGCTGATGATTTGCTCTGGAGACAGGGGCTCAAGGGGTGCTGTGGAGTGTCAAGACTGGAAGCAGGGGTCTAAGCAAAGATGAAGGTGGAAAGGTGGTCCAAAAGGAGCTGAGCTGCTTTGAGGAGGAAGGAAAGGTGGTCTGGCAAGTGTCCCACACCGGGCTGGCCCACGTAGCCTAGCAGGGCAAAGAGAGCAGTGGCCTGTGGGGCATCAGCCCTGACCACTGGGCCCAGATCAGAGGGACAGGGTGACTGAGAGCCCACAGGAAGGGTGGGGCAGGGGAGAGCCAGCCCCAGGTCCCACCAGGGTGGGAGAGGACTGGGGCAGAGCCCAGCATGAGAGCTGCTGTCACCCTCAAATAGGACCTTTTGTCCAGCAGCTGCAGGGCTGCTGCAAAGCACAAACGACCCCGCCGAGTGGGCCCAGTCGGGGGCCCCAGGCACTCCTGACCCATCCCAGGAGCCCATGGCAAAAGTGAGGTCAGAGGGGGAAATGACTGGCTGGCAGGTTTGGCCCGGGACTCCAGCGTATGGGGCAGGCCGCTGTTTGTGAGAGCCAGCCATAAGGAATGTGGGAATGAAGCTGGGGGTACCCAGGAAACAGAGGGCTCCAGGACACGTGCCCTGTGTGGCGGCAGTCTGGCCACCGGAGAGCCCGACGGCAACCCTCGAAGCCCTTCTGCCCCAGCAGCTCATAACCGGTTACTCCACCCCTCCAGCTTCCTTCTCCAGAAACATCATTTTTCTTTGAGCACTAACTACATACAAGGGCTGGTAGGAGCCTGTCCAGCTGAACATCCCCAAGCTTTCTAGGGCAGAAGCTCAGAGTGCCTTAATGTCTCCACAGAGACCTCCAAAGTCCCCCCACCCAAGTGAGCCTCCCTGGGGGAGTGGGCTCTTAAAGGGGCAGAAGCCTCTGTAAACTGGTGGGTACTGCTCTCTATGATACAACGGTGGCCTCTGGTGTCAAGCGGCACGCCAGCAAAGCAGTGTCTGCTCTGGGGCCTTCCCTGCTGTGTGTTTGTTTCTCTGGCTCCTGGGGCTCTGCCTGGTCTACACCTCCCCTCCTCACTCCTTCTCCTCTTTGAAGACCACGGGCTGGAGTGGCAGACAGACCTGGGATTCTAATTTGCTACATGACCCAAGGCAAGTCCTCTAACCCCTGAGAAACTTACTGTCCTCACCTGCAAAGTGGGGAGAAAGGGGCTTGTTGTGAGGATTCAATGAGAGGCATAGTGCCTGGCACACAGTAGGGAGCTTAGCAAACCTTAGGTCTTCGCTAGCTTCCTCCCACATTCAACTAAAAGGCCGGACTCAGATGCCCACCAATGTGTCTCCTGGCCCCTGCCCTTACTGTCCTCCAGTTTAGCGACTGGCTGCCTTTAAGAGGTGAGGAGGTCTAGGCTGGCAGAATCCATGCTGAGAATCACTCTTTACTTCCATGATCTTGGGGGACATCACCCAACCTCTCAGCATGAGCCTCCTCAACTGTGCCAGCAAACTGGAAAGTTCTTATGGCCAGACATAAGGCCACTGGTCAGGTAAGGCCAGGAGGTTTGGGGCCTGACATCCTCAGGGTGGTCTTGGGGAGAACAAACCTGGACACTGAAATGGAAAATGCAGCAGGATGCTGAGAGCTCTGGGAGATGTGTGTGAAAGGAGGAATGGACAGACCCAAGGTAAGAGGCCATCCGGGCAGCGGGAAGGGGAGTCGGGTCTGTGCAATTACTGCTGGGCCAGAATTATAGGGAGGTTTGTATCCTAGTTCTGCTGCCCTGGCCTTGACCATCCCCCATGTCAACCCTCTCTTGAACTTTCCTCCTTGCCCCCCCCAATAAGTCAGAGAGCCACTTGGTTGGGGGAGCACAAGGGTCAGCGACAGTAGCCAGAACCCCAGACCCTTCCCCAGGACTCCTGGCTGGCCCCACCCCTCAGGCACCAACTTGGGCCACGGCTGGGACCCCGAGCACAGAGTCCCAGGCCTCTTCTGCTCCCACCCCAGGTCACCCAGAGCTGACTTCCAGCTCTGAATGCAGCAGCATCTGGAATACAGCAGGGAGGGTGCAGGGCACCATGCCCATAGCCCAGGGTGGGTTCAGGGACACATACAAACCAAACTCTCTCTCCACTTTACGTACACATACAAGCAAGCCCCACTTGCACTCAGAAGGCCCGCAGGGGGCCTTCTGTCCTCCATCTTTGGCATCAATCTGTCAAAACCAGCTTTTCAGCATGAGACTGCTCACTCCTTTCTGTACAACATGAATTAAATATATTATCTGTCTTTGCGCTGAGTCACGGGACTTTCACAGTACGGTGGGGGAGGAGGGGAGGGACTTGTGGGGAAGCCAAGACCCTCCAGGGCTGCTCCTCAGCCTGAGGGGGGTGCGCAGGGGACCTGGCCTCGCCATCCAAGATTCAGCCGAGTGTTGAGGAGACTTTGGGAATAGGACAGGTGTGCTCCATAGGGGTGGGGGGCGGGGCCTTCTCGCAGGCCCTAACACTCCCAGTCCCCTGGGGCCTGGGGCTCAGGGCTCGGGATCAAAGTCTATCCCGTCCTGTCCCACCTTCCTGTACCTCAGACTGCGGTGCTGATCCTTTCTCTGGTGACCGCCCTCTGGGGAGGCCAGGGGCATGGGGAGGCTGGTGCCCAGATAGGGTGGAGCAAGGACAGAGCCACGGGGGCCGGGAAGGAGGGGACGAGGGAGGCTGTGCCAGCCCCAGGGAGCTGGCAGCAGCGTGAGGGTGACTCTGCATATCTGGGTACCGTCCTTGGGACCCTGGCCCAGGGCTGGCTTACCAGCGCTCAGGAATGATAAGCAGGAACCACTCTCGGGAAAGGGTGGAGAGGTAGCAGCTTGGGTCAGAGCTCCAAGGGCAGTGCGTGCTCTACCACCTGCCAATTTAAGGCAATCCCATTCGGACTGGGGAGACGGGCGGGCCCGGCTGAGCTGGCAGGAGTGCAGCTGGCGGGACCAGGCCACCACTGGACTCAACTGGGCATCCAGCAGCATACGGGGCCTCTGGCGAGGAGTGGGGAATGGGAACAAGTGGGGGATGATGAGAAGAGGGGGTGGGGCTACAACTCCCTCTGTTGCTCTGGGGACACCCGCCCCTCAGGTGAGGGTGGGCTTTGGCACACACGTTGGCACCCAGGATTCCAGAGTCCCAGACAAGGTGCCATGTTGCTTCCTGCTCTCAGCGGGGGAAAAAGGGGAAAGACGTGTGGGCTCCAAGGGGCCTGAAAGGGACTCGACCAAACTGGTGAGGCAGGCAGGTACCCCGGGTGGGGAGGCATGGTGGTGCCCATGTTCAAGGCATAGCGCTCTGCCCGGCCTCTAGATTCTTCTGTCCATGTGGGTTCCATGCTGGTGTCTGAGCACTTTAGGGTGGGAAAGTGTCTGAGATCGCTCCCTGTCCCCTCACCTCCTCCCAGGGAAGCAGCTCATGCCCAGCCCCAGGGAAGGTGACGGAGGGGTTGGTGTCCAGGCCAAGGCCACTGGGGAGGCATGTGGGAAGAAGGGAGAGGAAACAGCCGTGGCCAGCAGGGCTGCCTAGAGGTCTTCTGGACCGGCCGTTAGCCCTGACTCCTCAGTCCTCCGAGGCCACACGGGCCCCATCCTGCCGCAGTTGTGCTCAGTGTGACCTCTCGTCCCTTGGGCCACAGCAGGGTGGGCACAGCTCAGAAGATGCTCTGCCGCCGGCTCTTCCCTCGCCCTGGAGAATGGAAGGAAAGATGTGGGACTGCAGGGAGAAGCTGGGCCGAAGGTCACCTGAGATCAGGAGGGACGGGCGTCCTCCAGAGCTACTCTGATAGAGCCAGCAAGAGCATGTGCTTGGGAGCTGGTCAGCCCTGGGTTCAAATCCCATCTCTGCTACTTACTAGCTATGTGAAATTGCACCTTAGCCTCCCAGAGCCTCAGTCTCATTGCCTGTGAAATGGGGAGCATTAACTAATAGTACCAATTTCAAGGGGTACTTTAGGATTAAATGAGATACTCCACAGAAAGCACTTATCATGTCTGAGGCCATCAGCTAGTCTAGAAACAAAGTATAGTTCTCCCAGGATGGAGGCCAGAGAGCTCAGAATTTGCAGAGAGAATGAATCAGGAAAAGCGTGCACCTTCCTCAGGGCTACTGTCAGAGGCAGCGTTCTGTCTAGGGTGGGGGTTGAGGAGGGAAACGCAGGAGGAGGAAGCCTGGCAAGGAGATAGGGAAACCAGTCCCTTCCCTGCTCCCCACGGGCCCCCGGAAGACAGGCCAATGTCAGGGAGGCCACGCTGATTCCCACGGCAGGAGGGGCTGCCCTATCTCTGTTCCTCAAGAGGGTGGAGCCGCCTGCCCTGGCCTCCTCTAATAAGAGGAGGAGGTGGGGGAGGCATGAGCCCCTACCTGGCTGCTGAAAGGCCAGGCCCCGGTAGCCTGGGTCCTTCTGGAGCTGGATCTCCTTCAGGGAGAAGATGGAAGCAGCTGGGGTGAGAGAGGGAAAAGGCCGGGAGAGAGCTGAGTGGAGCTGGCCCTGCTCCTGCAGCCTGAGGCCCCCACACCCATCGAGCACCCCCTTAGTTAGGACTGGCCCAGGAGTACCTAACTGGGCCTTTCGGGCAGCACCTTGGATCCACAGGGTTTCCTCCCCTCGTTGCAAACGAAAACCCAAAGAGGGGCAGCCAGGCTGCTCAGCTAGACCCAGGGCCTCTGGCCTCTTCGTTCCGGCTCCTCCACTCACACCAGCTGCTCCCTTTCTCTGGTTCTGCGGTGGCCCTGCCCCCTTCCCCCAACCTCCCCTACACACTCACTGTCGTCGAGCTGGTGCACACGCTCCCCCAGAGACCGGAAGTAGGGGTGCCTCAGGGCCGCCTCTGCTGACACGCGACTCTTGGATTCGTACTGAAAAGCAGAGGGTGGGGGACTGCAGGGACCCCTCTGGGCAATGCTATTCCCATGCTAAGTTATATGACGAAGAAGGGAAGGGCCAGAGTCTAACTTGAGAAGCCCCTGGGGTCAGCTGCCCGCTCAAGCCAAGGCAGTCTCAGAACTCAGGGTCTCAGATCTCCAGCCACCAGGAGAAAACCAGAAGGGGGGCTTTCAGAGAATGACCTCCTCTTGGGATGGAAATACAGATGCTGAAGCATCTAAGATCACAACTTTAATAGTAATATTAACATGTAGTGCTAACAACTACCCTTTATCGTGTGCTTATTCAAGACAGGCACCATTCTAAGTGTATTCCATAACCTCAATTTATCCTCAAGACCATCTTACAAAATGTGAATGATTCATTCTACTTTGCAGTTGAGGAAACTGAGGCACAGAAGAGCTCTGTAACTTGCCCACAGCTACACAGCTAGGGTCTGGGTTGGGGTTTGAGTTGGGAGTGCACCCACTCTGAAGTCTGTGGAAGCCAGCACTCCCCTCGGGCCCAGTGGGTGGAGGGTACGTGGGGAACGCCAGCACGCAGGTGGGACGGAGGGCTGGGCTGGGATCTTGGGGCTTCAGCTCTCTGACTGCCTGGCCCTGGTCGGCGTGGGAGCACACTCACCAGGAGGAGGCCGGTCAGGAGGTTGATGCCATCAGTGTCCAACCTGCGGGAGGAAGGAGCTGGCACAAGTCTGGTCTATGGGGGCGGGGTGGGACGGGTGGGGCTCACAGCCACCTCCGGGAGGGACAGCCAGGCCCACAGGCAGAGAGGGGGAGTGGGGAGGAAGGACTACCTGGGAGCATGACTGATGAGAGGCTGGGGCAGGTACTGGGGGAAGTTGTACGCTCGGAACTCGGACAGGGCCATCACACCAGGCCACGCCTCTTCCGTGGGGGTCCCTGGGGAGATGAGAAGGGGTGGCGAGGGGTGAGAGGCCAGGGCCGAGGGCGACTTGGAGGGGTGCAAGGTAGGAGGTGGGGTCATAGAATGACTGAGTCCAACCCGCCCCCGGCCCTGTAGAGATCCGGTGGGAGCTGCTCTTCCCAGTCCGGATATGCGCGCGGGCTGGACAGAGTTCCGGCGCCCCCTAGTGGTGAGAGGGAGGAGCGGCAGGACACTGACCGAGGAGTCGGAAGATGAGGTGCAGCTCCTCCTTGACCGTGGAGCCGGGGAAGAGGGGCCTCCCTGTGGCCATCTCGTAATGGATGCAGCCCACGCCCCTGCAGGGAGCAATGGGCATGGGCGGCGTTAGGCTGGACCTCCTTGCACCCGCGCTTCCTAGCGCTGCTCCACCACGATGCCCTGCCACGGTGACTCAAATGGGTCATGGCACCGGGGTGGGTGGCCCAGAGCTGCAGAGGCTCCTAGCACAGCACAGCCACCCACTACAGCCTCCCTCTGGGGGCTTCTCAGGGCTCTAGGACGCTTTGATCTCTCTCCTTTCACTCTGTAGGATTTGGGTCTGCATAGCCAGCACCCATGAGGCAGCTCTTCAAGCAGTGTTGTCTCAAACTTCCCGTCATGTGCCCCTCTGGACGAGAGAAGTCCACAAATCCACTCTCCAAGGAAACCCCTGGTGTAGGGCACAGCAGCCATTCATCAGAAAACTGTGTTTTACCTTTAAAGTTCGGCAATTTTTTCCTTCTACACTGAATCATATGTGCGTTAATTTTAAGAAAAAAAGTATCCCTTCTAAATTTTTCAGTAGAACTGATGCGTGGGTAAGAGTCATCATGTTTACTGTGGGCGCCCTCCTGTGCCCTCTGGTAACCCCCTATGTACCCCTGGGCGAATATTTCAGAAGCACAGCCTAGGAGAGTCTATTTAGAGCCAGGGAAACCCCAATGTAGCTCTGACTTAATTTTATTTTTTTTTAAATGCATCTTTTATTTATTTTCCCCCTAAACTTGCTTCTCTTTATTTTATTTTTTGGCCACGCTATGTAGCATGTGGGGTCTTAGTTTGCCCACCAGGGATCGAACCCGCATCCCCTGCACTGGAAGCACAGAGTCTTAACCACTGGACCACCAGGGAAGCCCTCAATTCTTTAACATCCAGTTCAGCAGGACGCCACATGGCTTTTATTCAAAAGACATTAGACAGTCCTTCGCAGAGGCCTTTGGGGCAGCAAAAGCGAGTCGCAGGTGCAGAAGCCCCTGCCCCACGCCCCCAACCTCCCGCCCAGTCCCACAGTGCTTGCTTACCACATATCGATGGGGGTGGAGTACTCCGTGGACCCCAGCAGCACGTCGGGGGGCCTGTACCACAGGGTCACCACCTCATTGGAGTAGGTCTTTGTGGGCACTGACTTGGCCCGGGCCAGTCCTAGGGACAGACCCGTCACTGAACCGCCCCCACCCCCACCCCCGCGACAGTGCCCACATCCTGAGGAGACTGTGTCAGATTCCTCCACTACCCCGCCCCAGCCCTGTAGGCTCTGGCCCTCACCGAAGTCGGCCAGCTTCAGCTCCCCTCTCTCGTTGATGAGCAGGTTCTGGGGTTTCAGGTCCCGGTGCAGGATCTTGCGTCGGTGGCAGTAGGCAAGGCCCCGGAGCAGCTGGAACATGAAAATCTGGGGGAGGGAAAAGAAAGGAAGCAGTGCAAGGTGGGAGCATGTCCCATGGAGGGGAGGGGGGAAGGGAGGAACCCTGCGCCTCTTCCCCGTGGCTGGGACGGGGATGGGGACAAGACTGGGTGGAGGTGAGGTACTTGGAGAGCTACCTGGTTCTCCTGCCCGCGTGGAAGCCACATCCTGGGCCCCATCCACCCCAGGAAATGCCATCCAGAGGGCAGGGCACCAGGTGTACAGAGGAGGCAGGAGGGTGGGGGAGGAGAGAGTACCCCAGCCGGGGAGCTGAGAGGCACCACACTGGGCCAGGAAGCCTGCCTGTGTGGGGACGTACGCACACAGAAGACGTCATTCATCCCTCTGAATTTCCCCGAAGTCTCTCTTCATCCTGGCAGGTAACTCACGCTCCCGTTTGACAGAGAGGGAACCTGACGCTCAGCGTTAGAGCGGGGAGGTCCATGACACAGAGGCTCTTACCTTGACGTTGTGCATGCTCATGAGGTTTCCACAGTGGTCCAGATACTGCTTCAGGTCACTGTCCTGGAACACAGGGCCTGGCTCAGCCCTCGCCCTGACCTGACGCCTGGCCAGGCGCCCTTCCCTGGGCAGGGCCCAAGCCAAGGAGTGGGACAGGTCCCTGGCTCTGAGCTGCCCCTAAGCCTGGGCCCTTCGGCCATTCCTGAATGGGAGCATCTGAGAACCTGATTCCAGAACAAGGCCTGGGCCACCCCCCTCTCTCCCCCACCCCACCCCTACCCCAACTCACCAGGTACTCAAACACCAGCGTGAGGGAGCGCTCCGTGTGGATGAGGTCATGCAGGGTCACAATATTGGCATGTTTCAGGTTCCTCAGTAAAGACACTATGGGGAGACAGGCCTGCCTGTGTCCCTTAGGCCCCATATGCCCCTCATACCCTCTCCTCCTGGGACCAGCCTCGGGAGTCCCCATTCCAGCAATGACTCTTGGCCCCCAGGCTGCCACCAGGGCTCAGGCCAGGAACCCCTCCTCCCAGGAGCCCCAAGACGACAGGACCCTAGGATGCTGTACCCTCTCGGATGGCAGTGCAGGGCGCGCCTTCTTCATGTTCCAGCCGGATCTCCTTCAGGGCCACGAGGTTCTCTGTCAGTTTGCTGCGCCCTTTGAAGACTGTGGCATAGGTTCCCTGGGAACAAGAACCCCAGCAGCCCAGCCACATTCAGGCCCCGCTCTCCTCTGTCCAACGTCCTCCTCTTTGTGCCTCTGCTTGGGCCGTGACTTTGGCAGGACCGCCCTTCCCTACCCCCCGACCCCTTCACTGAAATTCTGTTTCTTCCAAAGCCCACTTCTCTGTGAAGCTATCCCTAACTCCTTCCCGGTCAGAAGGAACTGTCTTTCCTGTAAGCCCCCAGCAGGCAAGGTGTCCCTCTATTATAACACCAGTTTTGTTCTTCCTTATGTTCTGTTGATGTTTATGTGTAGGTCTCCTCTGGGTTCCTGGAAGGAAAGGGCCACATCCTCCTCCGCTCTGTAAACCACGGCCCACCCCCCCCTCCAGCCTGGAACACAAAGCCCAGCACAGTGTTTACGGAAATAGCTAATAATTACACGGCACAAAAGCTTACAGTGACCTACTCAGGCCTCACGACACCCTACGAGGTAGAACAATTAGGATCTCCATTTGACAGAGGAAGAAACCAAGGCACAGAGGGAGGTCACATAGCTCACACCAGGCCACAGAGCTGGTAAACGGAGGAGTTGGGATTTGATCCCAGACAAGAAATATTAGCAGGGGAAAAAAAGACTGGATTCTGCCCCAGAGCCCATCAGCCACCCCATCCTCATGCCCTCCTCCAGGACCTGGGCCCAGCTTAACACCCGCCAAAGGCTGGGCCAGACTGCGGGGCAAGATCTGTGGGACAGGGGTAGTGTGACCGCAGACTGGGGAAGGCTGGGGAAGACCCTGTTCCTCCTCCTCGCCATCCTGCCTGGCGGCCTGGAGAAAACCCAACCCAGCCTCTTACCTCCCCCAGTTTGTCCAGTTTCACGTATGTTTCCAGTTTCCCAAAGCCGATATCTGACTGAGAGGGGGAGACATAGGGTTCTGTGAGCTTGAAGGCCCCAGCAGTCCCACAGAGAGTGCACCTCCTCACCCCCAGCCTCCAGGTGGAAAGGGAATGAGACCCCCAGGGGGTCTGAGGCTAGCAGGGTGAGGGCAGCCCCAAATCCTCCCTCTCCACTTCTCTCTGTCCCTGTGATAAAGGAGGGAGGCCTTGGAAGTGTGAGCTTCTTTCTCCCGTGGCAGTGGTGGGTGCAGAGCCCAGGGTTGTAGTCTTGGGATTGCCACAGGCCTTTATCACCTGTCTGTCTCCATCCTGCTCAGAAGCCCCTCAAGGGCAGGAACTGTGCCTTTTACTCCACTGTACCTTGGGGGTCCAGTTCAGAACCCACCTCGCTACAGCCTCTCTCATCATCACACTTGCTCCAGCTCAGTAGTACCCAACCCTTAACAATACGGATTCCTGGGCCCCACCACCCAGAGTTTGATTCTGTAGGTATCTGGACTGGGGACCAGAATCTGTGTTTTGTAAGATACTCCCAGGGAAATCTGATAGGCAGCCAAGATTTGGAAACACGGGCCAGCTGGTTTATTGACCTCACGCCAGTGAAGACTCTGGAACCCAGAGGGGGCTTGGAGCTCAGCTCCAGCACTGGTGGGACTCAACTAGGGAATGGAGGTTGACCAAGAGGACCAGCTGTGGGAATCCTCTCGGCCAGAAGGTGGCGCCAGAGGCCCAGAAGCCTCCCTGGAAACTGCTGCAGGCCTCAGCCGGGACAGGCAAAACCAGGACTGATGTCTTGCAGGGGAGAGGGTGTTCCACCCAGGCGACCTCTGACCCTCTTGGGACTCACCAGGGAGGCACGGCGGGACATTCGGGTGAGCGGTTTGGGCAGGTCTGGGCTCTCCAGCTGCAGCTTCTGGAGGAATTCCTGGGGCAGACGGATGTCCATGGGCAGAGAGAGCCTCTTACTGATGTCCTGCAGCGGCCAGGATGAGACAGGGGTGCCAGTGTTTGCTCCAGGGTAGCCAGGGCTGTGGGACCCTCGCCTCTGGCCCTGGGCCTGGCTTTCCCTGTGAACAACCCCAGCAGGACTGAACCATGGGCTGTGAGGCTTCAAAGATGTGCTGAGACATATATGAACATCCAGGGGTTGCTGTGTGACCTTAGGAGGTGCCTTCCCCTCTCTGGACCTCAGAGTCACCATCTGTAGAATGAGATTCCTGCAGACACTGCGATTCTGTAAGCATGTTTTTCATACACTTGGGCACATGTATATGGGTCATAAGACCAATAGTCAAATTGTCTCGCCCTTGCTATGTACCAGGAATGTTCAGAGCACGTGGCATATATTCTCATTTAATCTTCTCGATGACCATTTTAACACAAGGAGACTGTGGTACACAGAGGTTGCGTAGCCTGCTCAAGGTCACAGAGCTAATCAATGGCAGAGCCGGGATTTGAACCCATGAAGTCTGGCTCCAAGGCAACCACCTTCCCGGGCATACATCTGTGGATGTGTCGTAGAGCCTGGAGCCCCTCACCTCCATGGAGAAGCGGCGCTGGTTCTGCCGCCGGTACTGCATGCCAGGGGACAGCTGCCCGGGGTCCTCCCCTCTGTCTGTGGGGGAGAAGGTGCTGGACTCTGGCTGCGGGTCTCTGCCCAGAGGACGGAGCTGCAGGCCTGAGAGGGAGAGACATCAGCCACCCTCCCTGCCTCTGCCCCGGCATGGGGGTGGGGAGGAGACTTCACTCTGCCCTTCCCCGATGTGTCAGGGAGGGTGGGGAGGGGCGGGGGGGGGGATGCCGGGTGGGGAGGGGCGGGGGAAGGGCCCCAGACCCCTCACCCTCATTGTGCCGGCTGTGGAGCTGGTTGAACTGCTCTGTGAACTCGACCAAGGACTCCTCGATGGTCTCGGTGCGGGGCACTGACAGGGAGAAGCGGCGCTTGAAGCTCTTCATTTTGCTCAAGATCAGCAGGTCGCAGGCCGCAGGGTCCTGGGACAGAAGTGAGAAGAGCGGGTGAGAACAGGGCAATGGGTCCGGTCGACACCAGCTTCCCATCAAGCTCTGTCGCCCCGCACTCAGGGGCCAGGGTTGCAGCTTCCTAACCCTCTTCCTCCTTGGGAATCTCATCCCCCCAGGACTCCCTGTCCCTGGGGGAGATATTCACAGGGGATATTAAGAAGCACAGCAAAGTACTGCTCATAACAGCAGCTGGAAGTGCCAATAGGATCCTGAAGGCCTCCCCAGGGCCACATGGTAACCTTCCAGCTGCCGGAGGTCTAGAGAGTTCTGGAAGGAGGCCAGGGGTGGCAGGGAAGACACCAGAACCGGGTGACCCTAGGGCCAGCAGCTCTTTACCAACTTGCACGGGAGAGGCTGAATATGTCAACAGCCAGTAAGCCGTACTGATTGATGCCCATAAGCTGAACATAACTTAGCCTACACCCTTGTAACGCAGTCTGGTCCCAACCCCATTTCATCCTAATATTGACACCTGGGAGTCCCTCTCTGGCTTGTCCTGGGTCCCCAGGAGACAGGAAAAGAGAGGAAAGGGACAAGGGAGAGGATGTGTGCATCTGAGCTGGCCCAGCCCCATCCCTCCTGCTGAAATATGGGAGGTCAGGAGCAGTTGAATGTCTCAAGGGAAAGACAGAAATTTACCGGAAACAGACGGGGCCCCCAGGGAGGAGGGGCTGAACATTGCTGGCCCCTCCCACACCAGAACCCCAGCAGGCAGGGTGTCTACTGCAGAGAGGGGTGGGCTGCTCTGCTCACCCCAGGGCCCGCTCCCCAGCGAGAAGAGGTTCCCTCCCTGCGGCTCCTCTTGCCCAGAGTGAGGGGACACCCGCTGGCCTCCCAGTGAGACTTGTGCAACTGCTTCTTCCCATAGACCCTCCCTTCTCTGTTCTGCCCTGAAAACTCAGAGTGGGGCTGTCACGCTTTCCTTTCCCTTTCCCCCCTTCCCCTCCCCTTTCCCCCCTTCCCCTCCCCTCCATGGTTTCATAAGCTCCCAGTGTGGCCACCCCCTCATTTCTACTCTGCCTCCTTCTCCCTCAGCTACAGTGGGGCTGGGATCAAGAGGCCTCACAAGGGCCCCCACCCACGCCTGCCGTGAAGCCATCAGGGCTAGCCCTGTGATGGGAGGGGGCCACCCTCTCCCAGCTTTTACCCATGCACCAAGCATAGCCCATTTCCAGAGGATGCTCTCAGCACTGTCACTGGCCAGTAACCAGTTGCCAAGGCGACCAGGCCCCTCCTGAATCCTGGTTTAAGGGATTATGGGTCAGTAGCATGTTTACTTTGCTTAAGGATCACATCCTTCTGTACTCAGCCAGCCTGGAAAGGGTCCTTTCCCTGGCTACCCCCAAATGCAGCTAAGTTGTGGCCCTCCAGCTCCTCTCAGCCCAGAGACTGGGTATGGCCAGGCACTCCTTCCTCAGGCTGGCACCTCTCAGAGTACAGGCGTTGGGTCTGCACTGCCAGCCGAGCCTATCTCTGTCAGTGGGCCGTGAAGTCTCACTCCGTTCGGCTCAACAAATGAAGTGCCAAGCATTACACTAGGCACTGGGGTTAGTGGTGAGTAAAGCCTGGTCCCTCTTCTCAAGGAACCTGGGGGCTGTGAGGCCTCCTTTGATGAGAAGGTAGCTGAAAGGTCTTCTTCTTCCAGCTTCCTTGCAAAGCCCACCAGCCTGGAGCTTTCTTACTTCACCATCTCCAAGCTCATTCCTGCCAGCCAACCTCAGCCACTCCTCCTGGCTCTGTGCGATGTCCGGGCCTGTCGTCTGCAGGATTCTCATGGACAGGAAGCTCCCACAGGCTGCCACTCACCTCACTCTTGTGTGCAGCCAGCCGGGGATGGGGGGGCATAAGGGGGGCTTCATGATGGTGGCAGCGTGTAGCCTCCAGTGACAAGAGGACCTCGACACGCCCTGCCTGCTGACTCATATTTCCCACACAACGGGAGAGTGGAGATGTCCCCATTGTACAGATGAACTGTTTACAAGTTGGCTGAACACGAGCATCAGCAGGGAGTTCTGGGAAACATTCAGATTCCTGGGCTTCGCCCTCAGATTCTGGAACTGAGGCTCTGAGGATGGTGCCTGGGAAAATGCATTTTAAAAAATCATCCCCCATCCCACAGGTTGCAGGGGGTGGCCAAAACCAAACACACAAATGAAAAAAATAAACCCACGCCCAATGATCTGAACACTAGAGCCATGGTTGGGAAGCATCTGAGGTCTAGGTAAGGGATGGTAATCTGCCCAGGTTTCCAGATTGCACTCATGTGCTGAGATGAGGAATCCTCGAAGCTGCGGAGGCACGGGAAGGTGGAGGAATGCTGAGTGGAGCTGAAGACCCACCAGAAGGGGAGAAAATGTCTGCCCTGCATAAACCGATACCCCAAGCTCAGTCATGCTCATCCTAGGGGGTGGGGCGAGTGGGCACTTGGCTCCCTGAGGTCTGGGCTCTGCCAAGAGCGGCCAGTCACGCCCTCTTCTAAAAACAGGCCTCCCCATAAAGCCATCCTACAGTCTGGGATTTATGGGATGGCACATAGGGTTTGTGGCTCGGGAATCCACCAGTAGCGGCCATATATCTCACGCCCTTGCATTTGCCTGTAGGGGAGGGAGAGGGGAGCTCATCAAAAGCCTTCTGGGAGGGAGGCCCCCAATCTCTACAAGACAAAGGAGAAGCAGCCTGAACTGCACCTGCCCTCCTTGTTAGCAGCAAGGAGACATCAGTGGGACCAGCAAGCATGTGGACGGTGAAACTGGGGACGGCTCACTTGAGCCGGAATGGGGGACCAAGCAACGCGGACGATGGGAACCAGCTGCTCTGCACCCGGCCTGAGAAGAGACCGAGAGGAAGTGGCTGTCACTGTAGCAGGAGCGATGGCGGTCAGATGTAGGGATGGACTTCCTGATGGTGGCAGGGGAGCAGGCGGCAAGGGTGGTGACCACGCAGAGAGTGGACGCTGCTCTCGGACGGGGACAATTGGGGCCTTGAACCCGGCAGGGTCTGGGTGTGACAGGGCAGGCTGGGCAGTGAATGGTCTGTTGTTCCCTACCTCAGGACACAAGATGCCTCTGTGACTTCTTTCTTGGGAGAGTCAGTTCCTCAGATTTGAGGGTCAGGGGGGAAGGGCGACAGGAAAAAGGCCTGTTACCTTCATGCGGTCTGCCCCTCACCCCCATCTGGGGACAGAAGGGCTCAGTGTGACCCGGCCTGAAGCCAGCCCAGGGCTGGGCACAGTGTGGCCTTTGTCCCCAGGGCCAGGGAGCCATCTGGGGCTGTCCCCGTGCAACTGGTGTCAGGGGAAGAGGGAGACGGGCGTCCAAGGACGCTGGCCTGGCCGGGTGGGATGGGGGGATGCTGAAGGAGAAGGCCCCCTCAGGAGCTGCAGGTGTGGGCAGGCAGACCCCCAACCAGGTCTTCCCTCCTGCCCAGGTGAGTCCCTAGAGTTCTCGGCCTACCTCCCATCACCTCCTCCTGGGCACACACCAGCCAGCCCAGCAATTCCTGCTGGTGCCAGAGAAGCAGGTAGCTCAGGAGGAAGGAGGAGCCAGACCGAGAGGAAACTGACACTTGCCCCGAGGCCACCGTGTGCCCCGCAAGAAAGGGCTGGACTCCTGGAGTGTTAGCAGGAACGGGCACTCACAGAGCCACCATTCTAATCCTCCCTGGCTCGCCTGTGGAGGACAACGCGGCTCCCAGAGGGGAACTGACTTGCTCAGAATCATGCAGCAATTTCCTGACTGTTGCCAAGTACACAGACTCAAGTGACCACATTGCTCCTCTCTTCTCCTAACTGGAACTCTCCCACCCTGCCCCTCCCTGCGGCCTAGGCTGTAAGTACGGTTTTCTACCTTCCAGGTCTCCTCCACCGCCATCCTGAATTAAAGTCAGACAACCCCAGCTTCCAATCCCGTGCCACCACTAGCAGGCTGATGACGGAGATTCAGTGACACCATCGCTCGTAGCTTTTCATTCAACAATTCTTTATTGAACATCTACTATGTGTCAGGCACTGTTGTTGACCCTGAGAATCCACTTGTGAACAAAACAGACATTAATCCTGCCCTCATTAATCCTGACACTCTAAAAGGGGTGGGGAGAGGCAACAAAGAAAATAAGTAAATAAAATATATGGTATGTTAGATGGTGACAAGCGCAACAGAGAAAAATAAAACAGGAAAGAGGGATGGGGTGTGAGAGGTGGGATGTTGCAGTTCTAAATAGGGTGTTCAGGAAGTCTTCCCTGAGAAGGTGACATCTTCTGGGAAAAATTCTGAGTAGGCACCGGGGAGGGAGCTAGTCATACAGAATCTGGGGGAAGCATGTCAGCAAGGGAACGGTAGGTGCAAAGGTCCTGAGGCAGAAGTGAGTTTGGTACGGTCTGGGAACAGCAGTGTGGCTGGAGAAGAGAGTTGATCGTGTTGGGGCCCCTCGGGATTTGGGAGGCTTTGCGGGGTTGAGTGATCTGATCCCATCTAGGTTTTAATCGGCTCCCTCTGGCTGCAGCAGGGAGCTCGGTCAGGAGGTGACGGCTGGGGGGAGCGTAGAGCAGTGGAGTTGGGGAAAAGCGGCCGGATTCTCGGTATATTTTGAAAGTGGAGCCAGAGCGACTTGCGGACAGATTGTATATGGTGTGTGAGAAAGGAGTCAAGCAGGACTCTGAAGGGTTTGGCCTGAGCAACTGGAAGGATGGGTGGCCATAGTGGGGATGAGGGACGCTAGGACTGGAGGTCTGGGTGGGGTTTTAGGCATGTGTTTCATGTCCAGTGGATGTCTGAGTGGGGATGCTGAGCGAGCTGACACAAGGAAGACACCCAGAAAATGTTAGCTCTCTTTTCTCTTTTTCTTTTTCTCTCGACTTCCTGCACAGATGTAAAAATGTACCAGAAAAGAGGCCCATATAAAGCGCATCAGACACATCCCTCACAGACGTTCTTAGAGCCCATAAGGCACTTTGAAGCCTTGGGATGGAAGAG